GGGAACTATTTGCACACCATCATATTCTTCATCATTTTCAACTTCTGATTTAATATCCATATCTTCATCAAATTCACTGTTGTCTTGAAAAGACACTTTTCTCTCTTTTTTGCCTATTTTCTTTAAACTGTGAAGTCTTGAAGATATTTCTTCTTTCTTTGAAGTTTCATTAGAATTATCTATTATCTCAAGCAAATCTAAATATAGTTAAAGAAATTTAATATGCAAAAGCACATTTACATTTATATAAATATATATTTGTTTATGAAACCATTTTCTCATTATACAAAATACACAACGATAATCTGTATATACATTAAAAGCAAAATGTTCCGTCCCCACCGAAACTGAAACCAACAGTACAAAGAAGCAGTGTGTAAGTAGGTCATATTACATCTTAGGTGGGCCTACAATTCATTTCTCGAAAGGATCGCCCATTAACATCCTCTGTAGACTCTGCATGAATTCGTGCAAAGGGATAAGAAAAGGAAAAAAGAAAATTGTGTAGGGATAGGAGATACAAAAAGACTTCACTTTTGACACAGACTTGGAGTTGAAGAGACAACTATTCGTTTGCTCCCATAGCAACTATTCTTTAAGTTTGATTTCTGAATAACCTTTGGTCATATACAGAACACAGATTTAGTTTTAGTTTTACATTATTTTGTATAATTTTTACCTGTATATATATATATATATATACTATACACATGTGTAAAGTGGAATAATATATATATATAATATTATTCCACTTTAACTCTGTTTTGGGTTCTGATATATATTCAAATTAATGTCAACCACCTAAACAATATCCTTCATACTATCAAATTTAACAACTTGACCTCATTACTGATAATGATGGCTGGGCTTGTGGTTTATATGATATATATACAACCAGATATGACATTTTAACTGTTCTTATGACAATATTTATATTTACAGCTATGTCTTGTATTATTAGTATTATTAATGATTATACAGTTAAAATTCTTTTTATTATATTTAAAAATTGGGATTGTTAAAAAACTTCAGTCTATTTTCTTATTTTTTCTAAATTTGAGTTTTTGTTATTCCATTAAATGTCTTATAACAACTTCTTTGTCTATAATACTAGTTGTTTTTTAAAAACATAAATTCAAAATATTCTAACATTTTCTATTTCACAGAATACTTGGGTTCATAAATCCTTTTCCCTAACAGTAATTGTTCCTTTCCTTTAATATCCCATGCACGTGTGTGGATATTCTCAACTTTTGACCTATCTTACAAAGAGACTGGCCACATTATTAACAGTGGCATTGATTGGCTGCATATGCTTTGCTTCAGTCATTTTAATCCTTTTTCTTTTGCTTCCTTCAGCAACTCTAGTGTTTTATTCTCTTCCACTCTTTCAATTATATCCATATACCATGCTTATTACAATGCCCATACATTTAAAATGTTTCACAGTGGAAAGTTTATCCTTCATCAAATTTCTAGTAAAGAAATCTACAATATTTTTACTAAAAATATGAAATGGAGTTTTAAACTATAAATTTAGAAATGGAAAGCCTAAAAGATTAATAGAAAAATTTATTTTTCTCTGTTTGGCTGTCCATTGCAAAAAAAAAAAAAAATTGGAAATAATAAGAAGCGCAAGTGCAACAGAAAACCTGCATGTTCAATTTATTTTTATGTACATAGCAAAAAATGGAGAAAGTTATTCCAGATTTTTACTTTACATGCCTATGTTTGGATCAGAACCACTTCCATCAACAGTAATTATTAATTAATAAATACTGATGACTCAATATAACAGTTTGGGGTCCATAGGCTGTGTGGCATCAACTCATCATCCAGTCTTTTCAGATCATGTTACTTTTATTCATCTTATTGTAGACTATTGAATTAAACTGACAGCTAATAGACCAGTTCAAAATAAATCTGCTCAATTTGCAATATTTAGTTGGCAGTGCCTATACTTTATACTTGCCACTGATTAACACAGTTTAATTGTCAGAGTTTTGATATGGAAAAAGCCAAAACAAAATGGATGGCAAGAGGTGACTGAGTCAGATAAACAGTAAATTGACAGTGACCGCCAATCAAACATGGAAGAAAGGATTAGGACTCCTCTTTATAACACAGTAAACTTTTTAAATTCCAATGACTGTCATATCAAGTCACCAGCATTTGAAATGACTAACTTAAAAATATTATTTTTTTATAAGAAATTATCAGGTGTCATGTAAGTTTTACAATTAATCTGACAATGATACCTGTTTTACACTATTTCAGTTTATGGACTAAAACAGTTTCAATAATGCTTCAAAAATAGATGAACTACTTTTAAAAGATTTAAATGAGTAATTAAATTGCTGAATTTCAGGCAAATTTTTTAGCACAGATATAAAGTGTGTTCTTCTTGAAAGAACCCAGTATGATTTGGCTATAAAGCAGTAATGTTTAAAGATATATAAAATCTTTGGTGAACTTGTGAGGAAAAACACAACATTTCATTGAAAAAATCACATCATCTCTGTGTGTGACCAATCACTAGGGAGTAAGCAATTTCTTGCTATGTATGCTGCAGCATGTCCTGTCTCACAGTGGCATTGGCTGTGATGATGATCTCTCAAAGATCATGAAGTTCTCTGACCAAGTTGCATAAACCAATATCTATCACATAACCCCACAGAAAGAAATCTAAGGGAGTCAGATCAGATCTTAGCAGCCATGCTATTAGGCAAATTAGACCACAACCTATGCTTTCTCCTGTGGCAAAGCCATGATTGGACAATAATGCTCATGATTTCATACTGCAAGATGGTGCAGAAGTTAAAGTCTCTATAAAACTTCATAAGTTTTTCCATCAGATGTCACTATTGCTTTTATATATCTTAAACCATTCATTGTTTTAATGGTGAATTAAAATCAGGTACTTTTGAGTGGAACACCCTGCAATATAGGCATCAATCATGTTATATTTAAGATAATTTAACTTGATGTTTTCTCCCAAATTTTAATTTTATGAAGCATTTTTGAAGATAAATCTTTATTGATCATTTGATAGGCTAATACACAATGATGAAAATACTGTTAACTAACTGACCCCGCCACACGTGGCCCAAAATGTATCTATTATAAATGTATAACACTTCCCCCCGTGGGGGGAT